CCAGGCTTTGGCGCTGTTAAATGCTCCTGAAACTCTAAGACTTATATTCTTGTGCACGGATTCAACAATCCTTGCAGATAACTATCTATCAGTTCTTCCATCGTACTTGCTACTGTATGCACATGTGAATTCCTAAACAAAGTTGGAGTTAACGAGGGCAGAAATCGGTCTACTACTGGCTGTGTAATTCACCAGGTTGTTTTGCACAGGAGGCTTAGGATTGCGTTAATCTGAAACCGAACTTAAACCTCTCACGTTTCTGGCAAGCATTCTACCTTTAAGCCAGCTGCGCAGTGATTACCAAAAACTATATAAGATGATAAATGATGACATCGTACATTAAAAAATTAATACATATACTAATACAGATCCCATTATCATCCAATAAAAATAAATTAAAAAATACCTCATTATAATCATAAAACGGAAGTTTAAAATTTGTCTGATTAAGCTGAAAGGATTTTAAGTAGTAAAATTCAATTTAAAACCATCTGATGAGTAATCATAATGTGTCACTATTAATGGAATAAATTTGAAAGAGACCACTTACTTCACTTATCTAGACAACATCGTTTCAACTATAGCAGAACTGTACGTATGAGGATGTCAAATCCAGGCAGGACTGGTCTTCATCATTCTGGGGATCTGCATCCAGCATAGAGAACAAAATTCGGATTTTCAACATCAATGTTAAGTCAGTCACTTCTTCCTTATGGGTTAGAAACTTGGTCAGCGCGTCACGAAAAGCATTCCCAACAGCCTACTTCAGACTTCTAACAAAAAATGCCTTTGTTGTCTCCATACTGAACATCAGAATGCCGGCCAGAAAGAATTAGCAACAAGAAAATCTGAGACAGAGCCAACTAAGAACCTCTTGGTCAACAAATATGTTGAATGGAATGGACATGGATCGCAGACATGCCGAGGAGACGGTCAAATGACGTCGTGAGCCAGCCACACCCTCGAGTGGAATCCGAATGAGAAAAGACGAGTCGAGTGTTGGCCCGTGGGTGACATGGAGGAAATGAGAGACTATGGGCAGTCGTGGGGCCAGCTAGAGAGGACCACAGAAAGTTGGACCAACAGTTGTGCTGTTGAAGCCCTCTGTTCCACTCAGAGCCCAAAGGAATGGTGATAATAACTTTGTATTGCATTAAGTGAGCAAAACACGTCGTGTTTCACTTTACACGCCAGTGAAGTGAAAGCTAAAGACATTGAAACAGACCTAACTTACATAAAAACACTGGACTCAGCTCAGTGAAGGCTTATTGACAGTGATTCTTCAAGTAAGTAAACTCCGGCAACCTGAATTCCAGTCAGTTTTCTGAGCAGACTGGATACACTTGGAATCGCATTGAACGACTGCGAAATACAAAGTGTAACGTGAAAATATTTAATGTGTTTTTGAACGTAAAGGGTAACCAGATTAGAGTATGTAATCTTATGTTATTAAGGTTTGTGTACCAGTGGCTATGCGTTTTACACATACTTGATTTGATCTGATTGTATATTATGCTTGGTATGAGCAACTAGTAATATTGGAATACAATTCGGGTACCATGTTAGGGTATAATTCCATCACAGGGTAAATTCATTTCATAAAAAGCTCACAGTCCTACAGGATTATTCAGTGATGACGTTTCGAGCAGGATCTATTGATCATAATTACATCAAGGCGTTTACATAACTTCCCAACTTCGTTTATATAGTAGATCCATTATTTCTTATCCCTTGATTTTACTGACAGTAATATTTTCCGCGTTTCTGGCATTCATGTTGCGTCTTTCCTGCTGCACGTCTTAGATAAAGATCCGACAACCAAAGATTCGGTTCTCAACCTCTTCTTCTACCTACCTATATTGCTTTTTAAAACTATAACTTTGCCCCACACTACTGTGTGATTTTGTGCTAATGCATGCATTAAGACTTCTGAGTTTACTTCGGAAATATTGATTTTCATAGGTTCAGTCATTCTACACTTAGATAAATTGTTATGTTCCGATTACTTAACTACCCTATCCGTGGATCTACTAGTTTGACCTATGTGGTATTTTGTAGATTACATCATTTTGTCTGAATTAGGTCAATGGGCTCGTTTAGCCTACCCAGCTTGTCGTTGAATAAGTTGCTTTATTCAGAATTCTGCTTAAGATTTCAGATACCTCTTCATTATGTAGTAAAACTGTAGATGCTTTAAACTCTTTCTTGTTTATGTTATGGTTAGTCATTTCACTATTACTTTTCTTATAATGTGAGCGTTTTCGTCGAAAAGTAATATAGTTAGGTAGAGGAAGAGGTTGATCACCGAATCTTTGTTTACGGAATCTACATCTACCACATAAATTAGGAAAGACTCAACACCGATACCACAGATATAGGATATGATTCTGCCAATAAAATCGAAGTATAAGAAATAATGGTATTACAGAAACAAAGTTTGAAAATTATTTGAGTAGCCCGATATGATTATGAGCAGCAGTAAATTGTGCTCAAAACGTATCATTGTGTGCTATAATCGAATCAACCTTTATTTTTGAAAATGTTCATTATGATTTCAGACTTTCATTTTTTCATGACTATCACTGTTCCTCCTCACACAGATACATTTATTTAGTATAAAGGGAGCTAAGTATTTCGTTAAAATTAGTACTTCGAATAACCAGTAACTTCAGTAATTTTAAAATTTCCTGAGAAATAATTATATATGAAAAAAAGTAAACATTTTCACCTGGAGAACAAATAATAAGGGGTTCGATTCAATTATATGATTGAGGGCGTTGACCACTTCTTACTAATTAATGGAGCCCAGTCACTTATGATGGGTCATTGGCTGAAACAATAAAAAATACTGTCAAGTAATGAAAAGTTCAAATAACTTTTGCTAACTAACGTTAATATTCGATTATTAATTTGTGTTTATAGTGTACTAAGTAGTACTGAACTTTCACCTTTTATTTGTCTGTGTATATTGTGGATAGTTAAGAAATAGAATTGAAGAAAACCTCGTGTACAAATTTAGGGTTTTGGACATGCTATGCAGAGTAGAAAAGTTAAATTATTTTATGGAGTTGAAAAGCTCCATTGAGTGAATTGACTGAGATGCACAAAACCTTACGCATCATCATTAGCTGCAGGTTGATTGAACTGAGAGAAAGTGAACAGAGGTCAGACCAAAAAAACGCTTAGCGTCAGTTGGTGAAGTCAATGAAGTAAACATTGTCACTGTCAATAGATTCAGTTGGAATAGTGAAAAGCAACACTTTTGTATGGGACTATTATCTACTGTATTATATATGTATTTTGATATTCCAAAAATTAATTCGTGATTTTCTCAATTTACATAGTTTGAGGTGGAATCTCACCACCACAGTTTCCTTTGGAAACCGAACTGTGAAAATTTCAAATCATGAATGAATATGTAAATTGTTAATTTGACCTAAGGTATGACTAGTTCGCCCAAATACCTAGCCAAAATTTAGCTGGTTTGAACATTTTCAGTCTTCTGAGTTGAGTTTAAATGTTGGAAACGGCCATCTGGCGTTTAGACCATTTCTGTCTGCCCAACTGGCTAGCACTACTGGTTGATTTTAGTGGTAGATAACTACTCATGTCAGTTAATCAGTAGTATATAGCCTCATTCGTCCGTATTCCAAAATGAGGGGTCTAATTATATCCTTCTTAAAAGAATAACTTTTTGGAGCAGCTATTCATAATTTGTTCACGTAATCGCGTAGCAGTCTTTTGACAAGTTGTACCAACGGTCCGGCTGCCAAAAGCACGCTTCTGTGTAAAATTAGTTCCTTTTCCAAACTTTGCTTCAGCAGGAAGGATGTTTTTCATGATGGAGAATGAATGCATTGCATTTTATCGCCATCTGGAGGTGGAGCTGTAAACTTTTATCAGCACCTGCCTTCACTCGACAATGAAGATCAGATAGTTTGTAATGGTAAAAAGAGATGACATAACAATTAGTGGTGTAAAGGATATAAGGCTTTGAGAATTGATGAGGTGGAGATTGTCACTAGATGAGAAAAAATGTGGTCCAGTCTCCAAGCGTTGGAAAAGTGAGATAAAACTTAGTGAAATGAACAAATTGGGACATGTAAGAGTGATTATAGTGAATTAACTGATTAAAATAGTAGCACCTAAGTAGAAAAGGGTTTAAGGCCATCGTATCATAAAAGACAGAATACGCGTTTTCTGCGCATAAGGTTTTGAGTAATACTGACGAATTGCTAGCGTGTTCGCCATATCCAAGTATTGAAACATAACACTCTGCATCATTTGAACTTACCTTCCATCTTGTCATCAGCCATTGCGCAATTTATTCTTGTCTTTGAAAACCACTTCTAAGAGATTGTATCAGCTATGTCTCATCCTCTTGTTTCTTAATTTTTCGTCTGCTTCTGAAGTCGTCATACTCTATATTACATGGAAATGTTTGTCAGTAGTACACGGTGCATTTTATTACTGAGAAAGTAGATTTTCAATTAAAATCCTGCAATCTTGGTGTATCTTTTTTCATTCATTCATGGAATGCAATGTAGAGAGAGATGATTTTTTCAGTTTACACAATCTGATGTGAAACATTACCATAGTTTTGTTTGAAAACTGGAGTTATTCAGATCAAAATATGCCATCTGTTTCGACAGCATAAATGACATCCTGAAAGAAGCAAAATTCATCTTCGTATATGATACTGATTGACTGACTTATTTGATTACTTGGATACCAATCACATTAATCATTGTCGCTTGTTAACCAAGGAGATCAAAGTGACCCAAACACCCACAGAACGACTCCGTCAGCGATGTACATAGTTTGGGTCAACTTGGAGAGCCGTATCAGTTCAGACCACCCAATGAAAGTCAACCAGTGAATACAGTCGTGTTCCGATTGCAAGAACCAGGTCTACCTTTAATTTAATTTATACTTTTAAAATGCTTTGTATTCATAAAATTATAAGGCGTTAAATTCTCCTTTTTTATTTTTACCTATAGAGACAGTCTTGACAAAAAATAGACAATCAGTGAAACAAATTCATGATCTTCAACAAGTTCTTGAAGAGGGTGAATATCGTATCAGTCAACTGGAAAGTTTATTACAAGATCGGAAAGACTATCCTCGTCATCTGTCAAATTTAATGCCTGATAACAATAACAGACAAGGACAACCAAATGCAATATCACAAGCAGCACGACCAAGTTCAAAGGTTACCTATTCAAGTCGTCAAAGTCATCGTACACTCTCCAGTATTGATCGGTAAATCTGATACTGTCCTGCCAGTTAATAAACACGAGGAATTGTTTCATCTACCAGCTCTGTACATTTATTCTTCTTGTATCATATACATATGCTACTTGTGTTTTTAGTAGTATGAAATGAACTACAACAATTATGCTGCTTTAATTGAAGTTTTACTCAATAGAATTATTAATTCATATGAATTTATAACGATCTCAGGCAAAGCATATATATATATGTTGAACACTTATACCCTGTTAGTTTTATTCACAGCGATTTATTGACTTTTTATATACATAATAAAAATCAAAAAAATATTTAAAATTATTTTGGTGTTTATTTCTCCTTTTAAAGAAAATATTATTTTGTTGAAGAGATTCTTTTCCAGCGAATTCATTATCAAGCTGTGCAGACACCTTTTTTCTGTGCGGTCGTAGCCGTCAGTTCACTCATAATTTATCAAGAATTAGTTTTTAGGGATTTGATTTGTTTTTTAGAGTTTGACCACGGATTGATATCGGTTAGAGAACCATTGAAAACCAGGGAGTACTTAGCGTCTGTTTCGTCCTAGTTTGAGACTCTTTAGCATGGCAACATAGGGGTTCGAATCCAGGACTTTCCAGTTACAAGGCGGTCTCGCAGACCATTCAGCCACTGAGGCTCAACTCAATGACCAACCAATGAATTCTAACTTTTTCGAATTTCTGATTTAAGCATGACTACCAACCAGTGTCATGGGAGTTTATTTGTCGTCACTCCTGACCGAGGAGACCCCACTGGTCACGACTTCTCACTAGAACTCCAATCAACTTTGTTCTGAATCCAATCACTAGCGAGCATCCAGTCACTCACCCATAAATGCCCAATAATGGTAAATGAAAAGTATATCTGAAAGCGATAGCTTCGAGTTATAAGAGAAACCTTCTTGAAATGAATGAATTAAATATGTATATCTACCATGTGGAACACTAATTCTTCTCTTGCAAGCTATGCGACTAAATACATTTCCGTCAATAATTTCTGAACACTGTTGGATGTACATAGATTTCCACAAGAATACTCACGTGTACGGCCTATCAACCCATTATCCAAACAATACTTTAAAACGAATCCAGCATGAAATTAACTTCTTAACTTGAGCAAAGCATTCATAGTAGTGCTACAAATGGCAGGCGGCATGATCCGATGCGTAGTGTGCGCGTTCATCGTCGCTGATTCATTCGCACTACTTGATCGTTACTCTGTAATTTGCCCTATATGACGTTGTTTCCACTAAGATTCAACCGTGCAGTCATTGTGTCAAATGCCAAATCACTATTCACTAGATTTCTTGAACCATGTGAGCCACCTTTTCATGCAAAGCGTATCAGTTATCGCCTGTTTGAGAAAATTTCGGTTTAGTCATGAAACAGGAAAATCAAAAATGATTAGTACGAAACTTGTGAATAATTATAATAATACTGCGGAATGCGATAAAACGTTTGTGATTATAATCATAATTCAAAATCAGGCGATGAAACAGGTTACGCAATATATGCAAAACAGTTCATAGAGTGACTAAGTCTTAGGGTCAAGTTAAAGGATAGAGATCCCATAGTGCAGATGCCCCAATGACTTTGAACGCATGTTATTCGTTGGAGAAAAGCATCTATCATTAGTATAGCTCCACTGTTAACTCTGTGCTCTAAATGAGGTGGAAATTTCATCCTATTTCACTCTTAAATACTGCTTGGATAATGGGCTGATAGCTCGTTAGGATCACGATTATGGTTATGATTAAGGATGAGATAAGGTTTACGAATAATAAACGGCATTTTTATGTAGAAAACATTTTATATTCTGATTGGACGCCTCAAGGTAACTGTTGCGTTCAGATTGCTTGGATAACTATTCTGTAGCTTTGCCGACCTTGGAAATGGATGGAAAATTAGCCGGATTAGAGGGATTAGTAAGGGCAAAAGCATTACGGAACACTGCGAGGAGTTTGATAGGTTTTGACACGGGAATATGAATAATGCAGTTATACTCTACCACAGTGCTCAAGTTGTATGCTTATATTAAATAAAAATAATCAACCTTACAAGTGAAAACACCTGGAACTATTCAAAGTGAAAATTAAAAAAAAGTAATAACAGTTGTAATATTAGGGAAAGAGTACACAAAGTAAATCAACAAAATTAAAAATAAATGTTTCATTCCTTCTTTGTATTCTACAAACAAAGCAGAAATAGGTACTCTGCATGCTTCTAACACACATAGGGATCCGTTTTGTATACACGAATAGCCGAAGCCTCCACTGTCTTTAGAAGTTAGGAACGAATAAAACCCGGCAGGTTAGCGTCGACTACATAGATGATCTTAAAATCATGATCCAGGCAGTTCAAGTGAAAGAAGTCAATCGAAACTCCTAAAGCAGAGCAGCTCACACGTTTTCTTTGTATAAGTGGGATCCTACTGAAGGCGATAATTGAAAATTCCCCATTTAGACATTTAGAAAGCAGAAGGATTGAGCGGAGAAATATTTGCTCTTCAATTAGAACCTTATCTCTAAATACGCCTCTTCTATGGGTATCTACCAGTTTGACTGCAGCTGAGGAGCCAGCTACATCGGGCTTACAATTACACAGGTTCATCATCGTATTTACGAACATCATTCAACATGGTTAAGCAATGGGCAAACAAGATCTATTTGTAGCTCTATTTTAGCACACTCTGTAGATAGTGAGCATAATGTTGACGTTAATGAAGCATTTAAAATTATTTATCGCATTCCTACTAATCTTAATTTTGCTTTACAAGTTTATTTTCTACGTACAGCTGAACAATAGGAATCCACCTGAAGAAGCCAAATCTATGTGTTCAGAAAAAAATTGTACAGCCACTTTCTTTACCTTGGCCATCGCTACATGAATTCAAAATTCATCTCTCAAATGAACGTGCACGCATCTTAGAATTCTAGCCATTAATTTCTTCTTCAGGACTTCTGTAGATGAAGAAAAATGTGGAAATGATAAACTTAGATTTCGTTACCAGACTTTCTGGTTGTCGATTCAACCTGGCCATTTGATCTTCAGTATGAAGTGTAGATGTTGATAAAGGTCTGTTGCGGTCGCGACGCGTAAGTCAAGTTTCTAATCTCTATAGAAGCACTTATGTTGAAAATTCAAATTTTATTATTTATGCTAAGTGGAGAAAATTTGCTGACTGATTTCAAAGTGATGAAGGTGTGACTTACCTTTCTGATTACGACTGTTTCTGACTTGTTCATCCGTGTCCTCTGCCTGTAGTTGATACGATGTCGCCTATATAAGTGAAGGAAGTAATATCTTTGAAAATTCTTCCGTTGACAATTATTGGTACTTGTTTTTGATGTTAATATTTTGTTATTTTCATCACCTCTATTTTCTATATATTCCTGTGAAATCTCCTGTCTTTATTGCCTCTTCTGTAAGTTTACTGGTTTTCGCCTATAGATCTTCAAGTGTTTATGGCATTACACAAAAATCATCCGCGAAATCCAGGTCTTTCAGAGTCTCTTTATCGTTCCAGAGTATTCCTGTCTTCTCGATCCCTCTACGGACACTGTGCTCCACAATCCAGTCCACCTTAGTTAAGAATTTCATCGGTGATAATAGTCAACCTCGGCCTACTCCTGTCTCTAATTCATAAGCATCAAAGAGTTTTCCGTTGTCTAAGACCTGACATGTGGTTTTGTCATTTAGCTGTTGAAAGAGAACGATAAAGATTTCTGGCACTCCATAGCTTATAGGTAGTTTCCAAACTACTCCTTGTTGAATGCTGTCAACTGCTTTCTTAAAGTTCAAGAAGTTAAGATAGGGATTTGACAACCATTCTGTGCTTTGTTTGATCTGTACATGATCCCCTTTTCCTTAATCGAGGTTGTTTCTCTCAGAGTTGTGCATCAACCGCCAGTTTCATCCTCTCTAGGATGATACGACTTAATATTTTGGATGCCATGGAAAGGTTGATGATTCTGCATCAATTCTTGCAGATGCCTAAGTCGTCCTTCTTTGGTAGTTTGACAAGGTAAGTATTTTTCCAGTCAGCAGGTTCCTTTTCTTCCTTCCAAGTACTTTGCAATATTTGCGCTGGCATATCCGCCGTGACCTCTAGATCCTATTACAGTAGAAATATTTCAGAATGAAGTGAAAGTGATATTTACAAGGCTAGACTGATGGTGACTATCAGTGGAATCCAGGATTCGCATTTCGTCCTATAACCGACAAAGATAAAGCATTTCTGATTGAACACTAGTAACTAGTGTGATGTGTCTAGTCCTTTCTTTGGTTCAGACTGAATTCTATCAGTCAGGTTTGTGATGTGGCCACCATTCTAGGTAGCTTCCTGCCAACTGCCTCCAACCATCTAATGTAGAACTTTCTGTCAAATACAACAGGAAATAAAAACTAGTCTAAATAAAAATACTACTTACTAGTTCACTGATTTCAGCAGTATTATTTAAGCAAATTCTAACTCAGGAAAAGAATTATTATCAATAGTTTTTAAAAAAAGTACTGTAGGCGTTTAAAAAATGACTAACTACGAGCTAATCTCTTGTTAACTATTTCAAACAAAACTACAAGAATTAACATGTAACATGTACCCACTGTTCTCACTTTATATAGAGAAAAAAAAGAAAATGTTCATATTGTTGTATGCCTTGTGAATATGATAAAATTAGAGGATTTCTCAAATTTCCGCTTTGCACAATAAATACTACATTGAAAGGTGATACCAAAAAGATACAAGCATATGCTGTTTTTTGACAAAAACCAAATGTCGCCCACGATTTTCATTCAACACTGTTTTTATTCAAGTACAGCTAAGTTTTTACATAAAAGTTTCTTTATTCATTAGTCAGTCATTTAGCTACAAAGAATGATAGACTAAGTTTTTCGACGAAACATGTTTAGCTCTCCTTCATGCATGCATGCAAATATTAGTCAAAAATAAAATAGAAATTAGTTATTATATATTACTATTGTTTCCTTTAATTCATGGAGGAACATAGGGCTTCAGCCGCACGTCTCTATTGCGTTCGGTTCTCTGGCAATGTTTTCACCTGACTCCACCTCTGCCAACATGCTTTCATCTCTTTTTTGATTTGACACTAGTAACTAGTGTGATGCGTCTAGTCCTCTCTTTTGGTGCAGACTGAATTCTATCAGTCAGGTTGTAATGTGGCCACCATTCTAGGTAGCTCGCCATCACGGTACACATTGTTTGTGATGATATTAGATGGTTGGAGACAAT